TTTTTTTTTTTTTTTTTTTTTTTTTTTTTTTTTTACTTTTTTTAACTTTCTTAGTTTTTTTTTTTTTTTTCTCTACCATTTTAATTGAGTTTGTATCACGCACCGTGATCTGGTCATCGTTTGAGACACCCCCAACACCTTATTTATTTATTTATTTATTTATTTATTTATTCCATTTTATTTTATTCCATTCCATTTTACTCCATTTCATTTTCCTCTATCCCATTTTATTCGGTTCTCCTGGGAAGGAGCAGCCCAGGAGCGCGGCCCAGCCTCTCCCTGTGCTCAAGCTCTGGAGCTGCGAGCAGCACTGCAGAGAGCCAGGGGCAACATATAAAATAATAATAATAATAATAATAATAATAACAACTATGTCTTTAATACTTGTGGTCCTTCCCCTGCATGGTGCCAGCCACGGTCATGGCTGTTTCCAAGCATCTCTTCCCAGTTCAGGATCTTGTGCTGCCGCGTCCTGCGGTGCTGGGTCCCCCGGGAGCTCTTTGCAGACCTGTCACTTYGTCCTCTGAGAAGTTTCTTGGTCGTTTCACTGAAAATGCCCCGTTTTGCGTTTTAGACAAATTAGGAAAAGTATAATTCCACTTTAGGAACCTACTCTGACCATTTTCTGTTTTTCTGTTCTTTTCTAACGTGCTGAAATRTCACTTCTTACCCAACAACTCTTTRCYCTTCTGGTAAGGGACAGTGAGCACCTGTAGGGTTTCTGTTTTGGCTAATTCATGTATTTGTTTATTGACGTCCAAATGAATTTGTGTGATTCTCTGACACGCGGAGACTAATAGTAAAGAATAGTTTTTAGGTAAGAGTGTCCTTCACCAAATGAAATACTGATCTGTCTTCACTGCCCTGTTCATTAAAAGGTTTAACATTTTTCAGTATACTGTTTTAAGCAACTCGCATGGCTGAGAAATAAAGCTGATTGCTTTGTAATTGGTTTCTAATGTCATCAGTAACAGCCTCCTCAGACAGATCTCTGGTTAATGCTKCTAATGCTGAGGGTTAATGGCACTTGTTGAATGGGTGACGTTTTTTGACATGGCTTTTTGTGATGCAGTTGGCTGGGGAAGCGATCAAGGGATCGGAGGATTTGGAGAAGAACCGGGAATTAAAGCGCAGCTGATGAACCTTATTCGATCTGTGCGAACTGTTATGAGAGGTAAGGGGAAGGTAATGCCTTGCTGCACACCTGTTGCCTGCAAACTTTTGCTTCTGTGCTTTAAAGTACAGGTTTTATTTTATTTTTTTCCAAATCTCAGTGTTTGATTCTCTTCCTGACCAGCTGCCATTTCTGCTTGCCATTTTCAATCTGTCCTTCCTCTAGATCCTTCCTTCCTGCATGAACTCTGCAGAGAAGTAAAAAAAATAAATAAAATAGAAATCTCTCAATGTGGAAGTTGCTGATAGTCGTTTACTACAAAGCACACCAAAATGTACTGTACGTGCACAGGCAAACAGCCTTCAAATGGGAGCAAACCCTGCCTTTTCTCCTGCCCAGCAAAGAATAAAAACTGATGGTTTTGTAAATCTCGGTAAAAGCAAAAGAAGAAACAGGCTGTGAGACAGTCTAGTTCATTTGGAGAAAGGGTTGTTCAGGCCACAGTTAAAACATGGAAGGCTGTAAGAATATTTCCACTGTGACTTGTTAAGTTTTGATATTCCAGACTTTGATTGTGGCTCTTTTTGCTAGTTCTCCTTTGCACAGGCAAATAAACTTTTATGTTTTTGTTTTTGTTTTTTATTTTTACAAGACAGTCTCCCAACATGACATGCTAAATTCTGTGTCTTCATGATGTGTAAAAGAAAAAAAATSAACAGTTCTTCTCTTTTTTTTTCTTTACAGTGCCACTAATAGCAGTGAACTCTGTTACAATTGTGCTACTCCTGTTGTTCGGCTGAACATGACCTGTTGCTTGTGGACATCCAAAGAGGAAAGCTGCCAACCCAGCACTGCTTTGAGTTTTCTGGGATCCAACGTGGTTTAGCTGTCAGTTTGACATCAGCTTACAATAATAAAGACACTATTTCTATTTATCCTACTTCCTAATGTTCCCTTGCGGTTTCATTAAACAAGAGAATGGGATCAGTGCAACAACGCTGTAAATATATTGGACTCCGACAAGTTCTCCTGCAGCCTGTTAATAGCATTGACTGTTACAATATTCCTTGTAACATATTGCAATGATTGTCCATAGGATGCGGTTTTTAACTGTCGCTCAGGGATGGATTTCCTTCAGTACACTCCCAATATATTTTTAAGTTGAAAAAAAAAATCCAGTGTTTGTCATTTCCTAGTTTATACCGCGGTACTATTTAATAGATATGAATTTGGTTCTAGAAATACTATAAACTATTGAAAATACTGTTGTGGTTTTGAGAAAGCTAAAGCTAGATTGGGGTGGGAGGACTATTTCGGGTTAAATTATAAGTGGAATTTTGCTGGCTACGTTGAGGCCAGGCTTTTTCTCTTGGTGCTTGATAGCTTTCTCATATCAATGGTGTTTGATGCTTATGGTAAAATAGGCTGAAAATAGGTGYGATAGCTATGCAAAATCTCAAAGAGCTGTACCTAAATGCAGGCAACTCAGTGTTAATTTAGACTAGCAAATGATCTTAGTAACTAGCATTTGTTACTATTCCTCCAAGGATTATTATTACTTTTTCTAAGCACATATTGAACTTTTGTGTAGCACTTTGTGTGTTGGAAGTGGGGAACCATTTGTATTCTGAGCTTTTGGGGCAACCTGGGCGAACATCGYGCCATTTTCACACGCAGTTCTTTTTGCAAACAGCAAATTTTGCAACCTCCATCCTGCCTCTCCATCTTCCTTAAAGTAAGGAGTTTCTGAAGATCCCTGGGTTTGAACTTGCAGATCCTSCATGGACAGCCTGCTTTGATACAGATGATTCAGCGGAGGCTGCTGGGTCAGGTCTGATGTTTATAGCAACCCTCAATGCAAGAAAGTGGATCCTCCTATACCTCTTCTGAAAAGATAAACTTCAAACATCTTTTCTATACCTCTCTGCTAGAGGGTGGCTTGAATTGTCTTTGCTTGTTTATAGGAGTGGSAAGGGCTAGAGAAACCTGGTGCATCCTTTTAAAACTGCTCAATTGATGTCTCTYTTCTGGTGTATTGAAGACTAAGGTATATGTGGTTGTTTACACAGATAAGTCTGTAAAATGTGTAAATGAATTTAATGGTCTTYGGTCACAACGTTTTGCAGAGTGGACTGTGTCCAGGAGTCCTTTTGTTCTTAAGTGAAAATTGTAAATAAAAATTCMATTTCTGAGTTTAGCTCTCTTTCCTAACTTCCTACATATCTGTGTAGTGTCTCATAACTCAGCTTCATCCTTTTCCACATACCAAAGTTAATGTCTTTGTGCAAGTTATTTATTATTCCCGTGCCTCCAGCTCTCCACTATGAGGCTATGTTTTGGTGTCACGTAGCAAACCCAATGGATCTTAGTGGTCTGAAGCGGAACATAATCGTGCAATGTCTTAAATTCCAGAAAAGCAATTTTTAATTAAAAAGTGGGTTTTCTTTACTTTGTCAAGGTAATTTTTATTTAAAAACAATAATGAGAGGCGATGCACATGAAACAACTGCTCTCTCGCTCTCGGCTCCCTCAGCCCCGCGCGTGGCTCCCGCTGAGGGCCCCCTCCTCACGCATCGYGCCCTTTCCCCTCAGCGCTTCCCGCGCCGCGGCCGGGCTGCCCGCAGGTGCGCCTGCCGCCAGGCGCCGTTGCCCTGCGCGGAGCGGCGGCGCGCGGCGGGCTCAGGCGCTCGTGCGGGCAGACCCGGCCGGGCGAGGACCCCGCGCGGCGGCGGCGCAGGCAGCCAGGTCAGTCCGTGGGGGAGCCTCCCCGTCCCCCCCCATCGCCGCCCGAATGGGCCGGTCCGCGCTGTGCGGGCGGCGGCGGCGGGCGGCACCATCGCGGCCGCGCGGGGGGCACCGGCCGCCCCCTCATGCGCTGCGCTGGCCGGGGGGCCCGGGCCGCGCTCCGTTGGGCGCGTTTGGGGGCTATTTAGCTCCTCTCCCGTCGGTAACCGGAGGATGAAACGTTCCTATCGCCCGCCTGCAATAGGCAGGGCCGTGGTGGAGCTGTAAGAGCCTWTGCGGTYACTGAAATACTGTAAGTGCCGTAAYGGGCGTTTGGGGGAACGGCCGTTTCAAATGCGCCCTTCTCTGTGATGTTTCTGTGGCCTCAAGCAAACCGGGGAGCCCGAGGTGTGAGCCCTGGCTCCCCCGTGGTTRTATTCAGTTTTTCAGGTTTTGTGGACTGTGAGCCTTGTCCCCACGTCAGGCCTGTGTGGAGCTGGGCAGTGCCGAAAACTGCCCCTTGTGAGCGCGGTGTGTGTGAATAAACCGACGGAAAGGCAGCAGGGTGAAACAGGGAGAAATAAAATAAAATATAAAATAAAATAAAATAAAATAAAATAAAATAGTGCTTTCTGCTATGGCAAGGACGTCCAGCCCTTGACGGTGCTGCATGCACCGGGCGTCTGCTCTGCAGGTTTGTGGTTTTTGCGGCTGCTTCTGTCCCCTCTTTAGCCCTCAGCACCCCAGATTCCCCGTGATGGGGCCACAGGGCCCAAGAGGAGACGGTTTTAGTGTCATGGAGTTGGTTTGGTGTCGTGGAGATGATTTGGTGTTGCAGAGGTTACCTCCAAATGCCACCGTGTCAGGCGCTGTCTGCACAAAGGTTTTTACCCAGGGAGGAGGTCTCAGAAACCCKATGCCTTCTTTTGCTGTGATAGTGGAGAAGCTCCCCAATTAGCTCTGCTATCAGTTTTTTATCACAGATGTGTAGCCTTGGCCTCGCTGGCAGCAGACATAATATAAAATAACATTTTTTTTTTCCTTATTACAGGGAGCCAGCAGGGATAAAGAAAGTGGCATCTCATAAAGTTATCCGCACACTGTGTCTTGTACCCTAAGACGTCAAGTTCATGTGATCCGGGCAGCTGATAAAATCAGTCTGCAAAGATAAAAACGTCCTGATAGACAGTAAAATTTATTAAGACAGGTATCTATCACGGTGCTGACTGCTATGTGCCTTTTTAAAAGGACATGYAACCAGAACAGCTCAAGAGGAAGTCTTGATGTGATGATAGCTTGGAGAGCAATGTCTGGCAACCAGGAGAAAAGCTCCTGTATTGGACTTTGGCTGAGAAATGGCTGAGCGGATTTGCCTGTGGAGGTGCAAAATGAGCAAAGAGCAGGTGTTAGATAAGGATGCATTGCTTTTTGGAGAAAACTTTTTAACGAGATGACTTGCACCAAAGCTCGGTGTTCCCTTTCCCAGTGCCTTTAGACTTTCAGTGCTGGTTTCTGGTTTAGACCAAATGTCCAGCTTGCTGTAGGAAGTTGCATGATTTGAGGATACCTGAGTTGTGTTGTGGGCTGGATCCGTGCAATTTTCCACTGCGATCCAGTTTACAAAACCAAAGTTAATAATAGACACTTTTGTAATGCCTTTTGGGCGCAGAGCGCTGTGTTGTTGCTTAGTTGTATTTGTCTTTGCTTGAACAGCACCACTGGCATCGGTGGGACTTGCAGGAACGTCCTTGCCGAGGCCTTGAGCCAGCAATGCTGGGTGTAATGATCCCCTTCCTGACAGTCTTAGCTGGTTAGAGATCTTCCTGACTCGCACAAATAAAGGCATTTAAAAAACAAATAGCACCTGATTTCCATATATAGAGTCCTTTGGAAAATACTAGCCCATCAATTATGCATTTTTTTTAAACACTGCCTTTTATTTCTCTGTCTAAGGGGGCCCATTTAATACTACGAGTAATGTTCTGAGTGGTACCAGGCTTGGCACAAGCGAGGCGCTTAGCAGAGTTCCTTATTTTTATGATCCATTGTTTGCTAACCGTTTTTCCCTTGTTTAATTTATCGCGCCTTCCCCGGGGAGTGCAGGATGGCGGCTCGGCGCGCGCTCAAGGCCGTCCTGGTGGATCTCAGCGGCACCCTGCACGTTGAAGACTCGGCTGTGCCAGGCGCACAGGAAGCGCTTAAAAGGCAAGTTACCCTTTCTTTCCATGTCCTCCTGTGGTTTGGTCAGTGCTGTTTGCACAAAGATGCTGCTTTCAGTGAAAGGTTTCTGCCTTATTATACTGGCCTTTGCGAGCAGATAAGTGGCCAGTTTCTTTCCTTTAGTTACACCTGTGTTAACACCAGGAGAACTCTGCAAAGGGCCCAGACCTTGGCAGGTTTTCCCTAAGAAGCTCTGTAGGTCTTTTTTTTGTAGGAAAGGCTTATTTTCCAGAGCATTTCAGCTAATTCACACAGCCTTACTCCACAGCGGAAGGTTAAAATCACTTCAACTCAGCTGGTGCTCAGTGCTTCATTTAACTACAGGAGCTTGATCATATATGTGATCATATACGTGAGCTTGATCATATATGTGAGTTGTGGTGAGCTAGATCGGGATAACAATGAGAATAACTTGACCCTGGGAGGAAGTCCTCAGAAGAGGACATTTACCAAATCTTCATTTTGGTAATCCTTGATCTTTCAGATGTTATTTTATTTTATTTWATTTWATTTTATTTWATTTTATTTTATTTTATTTTATTTTATTTTATTTTATTTTATTTTATTTTATTTATTTTTTATTATTCTGGATAAACAACCTCAGCTTTTTGAGATGAGAGATGTTTGATAATAGAGCTTTGTACGAAGCTCAACAGGTGAATTAACAGTGCAGCAAGTACTCCCTCTGATGAAAGGGTGTCTATAAGAACTGAGGCACAGAAAAATGATTAACTGTTAAAGGGCTAAGTTGGCAGCAAAGTAGGAATATGTAGTGCCAGGGATCTTTGTATCCTGTTCTGACACTTTTTCCCTGAGGAAGTCACCTTGCAAAAGAGCAAGAGAAACAGTATGAAGTGATAATATGCCACCGAGGTGAGTGACAGATACCTTAGGATTCTAGAGCAAAGAGAATTAGGGGAGAGAAAATGGGTAGAATTAAGCATGGGAAGTTTTTACTGGAGTTTGATCTGCTGCCTAGGTTTTTCTAAAGTTAGACTGTTGCTTGGAGGGAAAGCAGGTGGATTAGGAGAGTCCTGTGTATAAAACATTGATTTTCCTGCTGCTGCACTGCTGCCTTATTCCTAGCAGGCTGTGCTCATGCAGGTCCTGTACCAACTTAGGGAGCAGAGAGCAAGGGAGAGGAGTTAGAGGAGGGATAAGACATTGCAATAGTGCAGTGCTCTGTTGTGCTTCAGTTTAGGCTCAGGTTTGGAGAATAGATGCCATTTCCCTGCAAAGAACAACCAAGTCTGCTTGAAGATAGGGAAAAAAAGAAAAAAAAAAAAAAAAGGCAAATTTCAGGCAAGAGAAAGAAGTGGCAGGTGCAAACAAGTCTCCACAACTGACCAACTTTGTTCTCCTGTTCTCCATGCAATTTAGTATTTGTTTCTATAGCAACAAACACAGAAAGTGATGGTGAGGGAGCAATTAACGGAAATGCCATTGAAATTGTCACTTGAAATTATTTGGTTGTTCAGTAGCATGTACTGTCAGCGTAGGGCAATAACGTGGTTTTATGTGATGATCAGTGCTCCTCTGTAAAGAGAAATGGCTGAAAAGCTGAGATAAAATTGCCACACAGATAACACAGCCTCCTAGAGCCTCCTGCATCTCTGACAGCTCCAACTATGTGAAATTCCCWGGGCATGTTCAGTTCAAGTATTATTTCAGCAACAAGGTTTATTTATTTGGGTTTATCTATTTTGGTTCAGGTTAATGCTGTTAGTCTAGCTGTTAATGGGTTTGGACTGCTTATGATCCAGGTTGAATTAAAAGGCTTTTCAGGCTACTTGCAGTTGATCAAAGATGTTTTGTTACAAAGATGTAACAAAACTTCTTTGTTTGTGAAGAGGGAATTTGGAATCACCATTTTCCTCCTGACTCTGCTGGATAGAAACAGAGCAGGGGAAATCCGATCTTGTTCTGCAGAGCAGACCATGATTTTTGCCTTATGTTTCACTTTATGTTGCCCTCCAGTCCACACAGGGGCTAAAGACCTCCTGGTACTTCTGGACTGTAGCTGGGGATATAGACAATCTTTCCAGCTGCAACCTTTAATAGATGGTCCTTTCTAAATCCCAAAGAAGCATTTGAAGTGTGTAAGTAAAAGAATTATCTTTGTCTCTTTGCATCAGGCTCCGGGGTGCCCCAGTCACCATCCGGTTCGTGACCAACACAACAAAGGAGTGCAAGAGAGACCTGCTGGAGAGGCTGACAAAACTGGGCTTTGACATTGCCGAAAATGAGATCTTCACATCCCTGACAGCAGCCAGAAATCTCCTGGAGCAAAAGCAGGTGCGGCCGCTTCTCCTGGTGGATGATAAGGCCTTGCCTGATTTCACAGGTGAGATGGAGAGAGAAGAGCACGAGGGAGGGTTGTTGAGCCAGCAGCTAAGGAAATCCTGTGCTCTTCCTTTTGTGGAACAATGGGCATGTAAAACACTGCTCTGCCTTTGCAGAGTTAAAGTGTCTGCTACTTCTCAGTGTGACAAATGGGTTGTAAATGGTATTTTGGGGACGTGTTGCTATCCTCCACCAGCCAGTGTGAGGACCAGCATGTTCCACAGTTGTCAGAAATCTKAGAGCAGGGTAAGACAGCACGGTAAGTTCTAGGCTGGGGACATCTGTGATGTGCTCTGCACTGAAGTGGTCCTGTGTGGCAGGATGCAGCCTTCAGATGTGCTTGTGTTGTCCAGCATAAAGCAGAGTTATTTCTCTTTGGGGCCTGTGCATAGTGTAAGAGCTAAACAAGAAGAGCTTGTGCCTTCTCAGAAGGAAAATAAAAGGAAGAAGCAGCAGAAACACAAAACTGCAGTGTGTTTTTCTGCATGTTCTAATCACATTGCAATGCTGTGGACTATGCAATGCCTTGAATGCGTAATGGATAATATGTAGCTTATGTTTTGCTTCATAGTGTAGAGCACTTAGATTACTGCTAGCCACTATGAAAACCTAAAAACATAAGCTGTTCTGTACAGTCATAAAAACATGTTATTCTTTTTAACTTAACAGTAAACCAYCTAAAGCCATTGTTGTCATAGTTGCTTGAGGAATAATGGAAATGGCAACTAAAACCTTCCAGTGGGCAGGAATTCACATAAATTCAGATAAATTTCCAGTGCAGAAGGTGATATTTAGTATTAGGTCTTTGGGGAGTTATTCAACCTAGCAGTGCCGATGTGTGTTTTGCAAAAATGTGTCAATTTATCAGAAAGCAGTAGTTTTCCTGCACTWTTGTAGAAAGATGATGTCCATATAGGACTAGTGCTTCCAAGAGGTTTTGCCAGCTCTTTTTGGTCCCGTGATGTTGCAGCACATTTTGTCCTGCTGGTTCTCAGAGTCTTTTTTAGGCAAAGTTAGATGACAAAGTGATCAACATGTCCCGCACCTATCGCTAGATCAATAGTGACACAAATTACTGAAAAGTCTCTATGTAGAGACACAGAAAGTTCTTTCTCTATAGATAGATGGCCATTAAATGTGAAATCCCCTACGGAGTTGCAGTTTAGCTTGAATATTGAACATCTGGGTCTCATTTCATATACTTTTGATACCTGATTGGGTTATAGAACCTTTACCTTCCTTATTTCTCTCGATTGTCATCTCTGAACACCTGCTTTAGTTTGACATGAGCCCTCCTCTCTCCCTTGGAGACTAACCTGGTTTATTCTACCTCAGATACCTCAGGCAGATGCCTAAAGGTAGGACAGTTAGTTCTTGACTTACTCCACTGCTGGGAGTGTTTTTAGCTTGCTTGATGTTGAAAACATTCTCAGTTCTAAAACACATGTACACCTCAAAGGCATCATCTGTGGGAATTGTTCAGATCTGGCCACTGCAAGAAGGGTCTGAACACGGTTAGTTAGCAGTGAACTTCTGTGGAACGGGGCAGGCTGAGGTGTAGCTACAGACTGTGACCCTCATTAGCAATAGATGTGCTGGAGCAAATGTGTCTTTTGGGGCGTATAGGTAGTTGCAGGGGGGTCTCTTGGCCATGCAAAAAGTTGACTGTATTGCTAAGTATGAAAAAAATGTGCTTCACTTGCAATAATATGTGGTACTGATTTTGATTTTTCCAGGGATAGCCACTAATGACCCTAATGCGGTGGTAGTAGGACTGGCTCCCGAGCACTTTAACTATGAGATGATGAATAGGGCATTCCGGTAAGTCCGGGGCTCCCTGTGGGTATTTTGGAATGGTGGTTGTCTCTTGCTGGGCTCTGCATCTTCACGTATGAGTGAAATTCCATCCTGTATGGAGAGGTTTGCATGGTTACATCACCATTATGTAGTGAGGATTGCAGTGTCCCCTGCCATGTCTGAGAGACGACAAATAATTTTTGTGGGTTCGGGGGCCTTACCCACGAGCCTCACGTGGTCCAGTCCTGGGTTTCATAGGCCTCGGTTCATAATTAAGCTTAGTTACAACATTAACAAGAGAATTACAAAGATAACAAAGTTAAAATATCAATGTGGAGAGGTTAGCAAGGTTTCAAGAGGAAACGCTTACAGAGAAGCGAGGGTGTTGAGAAGCATTAAGGAGGAGAAGGTCTCTGTGTTCAAAACCTCCACCTTCAGAGTCCCAAGAGGCAAGGACTGTTCTCTAGGCACCGTTTGAAATGACTGGAAATGAATTTCCCTTCTCATGTCCGTGGGATTTTGCTGTCACGTTTAAAGGGAGTCTCTCGGGTGAGATCCTTGCTGTGAGTGGTTGCGGTGCCGCTGTGAGATTGGGTTTTGCTGGGTCCTAGAGGCCTCCTCCCACTGTGAGCCTGTCTGGCTGCTCGCAGGCACACGCGCCAGCTCCCTGAGCTTGGAATGCTTTGATCCAACGCAAGTGTGCTGGGGTAATTAAGTGAAATGAAATGCTATCGTTTATGCATTGCCCACGGTGCCTGCAGACAGGTGAGGAAGAAGAGACCTTCKCCAAGGAACATGCAACTAACCTAAGCCAACCTCTTGGAACAGAGGCACCGAGCAGCTTCAAGAAGGGCCATAAAGGAGCGGAGGAAGATTCTGCTTATTTTTTWAAAGGCTTTTAAAATTTCACGCGTTTATTTATTTGTAAAACAGGGTTAAGGGGAACAGAAATGCTCCTTTTTGCTCTCCAGATAACTGCCGGTGGTGCCCCTCTCTGCCCAYCTCTGTTCCCACTGTGCTATTACATCCCTACCCGTTGTGATAAAGACTGGAGCTGCCCGCAGCAACTGCAGAAGGCACYGTGAAATCAGGCGGGGAGTTTTTGGCAGAGAAGTTCAGCTTTTATCACCACTATCCAGAGGGCTTTTATTGCCATGAAACTGGGGCTGGGGGAGGAATGCAGCAGCGGGGCTGGGTACTGTCAGGGTGATTCATGCAGTGCAGCAGTCTCGGGGACTTTCTTTTGCAGCAGGACAGGTAGCTGCTGTATCTGCTTAAAAAAATAATATATTTGCAAGGCAGGTAACAGAAAATTGGAAGAATCGGAGATGGGCACTTGTGGATTAGGCCCAAATCCTTCTGGGAACTCCTGTGTATTGGTGGTTTGGTCATCGCAGGTCCAGGGTGGYAGAGGAGCACGGCCTCTGCCACAGAGGTTTTGTAAGGCAGGTGTCGGGCGAGACCCCCAAGTGGGTGTGAAGGGGTTTGGCAGGGTTCCTAGGGGAGCACAGGCTAAGGATGAGCCGCATGGGACTGTGGAATTGCAGAATTCCCTAGCACTGGAGCCTGCCCYGGGCCGGTGCCACCCTTGGGGCTTTGACGATCTCTCTTTTGGAGTTATTGGAGTTATTGGAGCAGGAGGAAAGAATCCAGCTTTGTTTCTCCAGGAGTGGCAACAGTGCTGCCAGAGGGGGAATTCAGTGGGGCAGGAATGTGCCTGATACCTTTGTGGGTTTTTTTTTTGATCCTCCCATGTTAAAATAGAAAGTCAAGGTTTGATGATTCACCTGCTGCTTGGGACTCCCCTAAACACCCATCCCTGTTGGAAACGTGTAGCTCTTGAGTCATTTGGCTGGGGGGGTTGCTTAGAAAAATGAGCCTGAGYTTTGCACTATAGAAAGGAGTTAAAAAATACTTAACTGTTAAAATCCTCCAGGCAGCAGTTTGTTTGGGAGATTTKTTTTATTAGCTGTTTCTGGGGAAAGGGAAGGAAGGAAGAAACTTCACATCGATATTTTGATTCCCAGCTTATCAGTGGGAATAATGCCATCAGTGTAAATGAAAGCAGGATCAGGCCTTCAGCTGTAAATACCCCTAATATAATTACATATTGTTCCTCGGTTCCCCAGGTTGGTGCTGGATGGAGCCCCTCTTATAGCTATACATAAAGCCAGGTACTTCAAGAAGAAGAGCGGCTTGGCCCTGGGCCCTGGGCCCTTTGTGGCGGGCCTGGAGTACGCGACGGACGCCAAAGCGACAGTGGTGGGGAAGCCGGAGAGGACCTTCTTCTTGGAGGCGCTGCGGGGCACCGGCTGTGCCCCCGAGGAGGCTCTCATGATCGGTGACGTACGTGGGCGCCGCGGCTCCTAGGGGAGCTGCTTGCTGGGCGCAGAGCCCCCTGCTACCTCGACGCTGTGGTGGGCGAGCGGGCGCTCCGTCGCGTCGTTGCTGCGGGCGGTGCGTGAGCGGCACGCGAGGCAGCGTGCTGGAAATGGGGCTGGGGGTGCCACAAAGGGGCTCGTGGCGGCGGCGCTCACCGCTCTCCCGTTGCGTGGCAGGACTGCCGGGATGACGTGGCRGGAGCGCAGGGCGCCGGCATGCGTGGCATCCTCGTGAGGACGGGTGAGTGCGGCGCGGAGCCATCCCTTCAAAGGCACCCCTGGCTTCATCCCGCCCTGGGCACTGAGGCAAGSCAAAGCTGGGCTCGGGGCCACGGCCAATCCTTTGGGATCTGTGCTGTTTGGCCCCCCCGGGAGCTGCCGGGAACCCTGAGCGCATCCTTACGGAGCAGCTCGTCGGGGTGGAGGCAGCGGGTTGGTTCCCAAGCTGCAGCGTGGCAGCCTGTCAGGCAGCGGGTCCTGACTGAGGTGGTAGATAGAGATTAAATCAAGGCAGGYCATAAATTGGACTTAATGTTTGAACAGCAGGTTTAGAGCCTGGCCTCCTACCTGAYAGCAGGATGATGTGAAGTAATAGCTGGGGGTGGCTGATCTTGTAGATTGGAATTTTACAGGGACTAAAACACAAGTATTAAAGAACAGAGAGAACTAGTGCTTATCTAAAACRTGGTATCTTAGATTGCCGAGATCATCATGTCGATGTAACCTCTGACCATTCAGAAACTGATGACATTCCTTGGTAATTACACTGATAATTATGGATGCCATTTTGCTTCAAACAAGAACAGACAAGGACTGAAAAGTACCCTCAATGTTACCAATGTTGTGGTAATTAAGGTCTTTCAGAGGTAGCAACARGTGTGAATCTGTCCTCCCATGTCTGGCTCCTTCTGACCCTAGTATTTTTTTGAGGAGGGGGAAATGAGCAAGTCCGGCTGACCAGTCACCCAGAGCAGCTTCGTAACCGTGTGGTTTTGTTCACGCTACAGGTAAATACCGAGCAGCAGATGAAGACAAAATCAATCCGGCTCCTTACTTAACCTGTGAGGATTTCCCTGAGGCTGTGGAACACATCCTAAAGCATCTGCTCTGAGAAGGGGAGCAGAGAGTGCCAAGAAACTTCTGTTTCACAGTTTCCTTTGTTCTTCCTTCAAAACGGAAGGCCCCAGGATCAGTGCATGAAACCCGGCCCCGAGGTGCCCCGCAGGTCACAGCAAAGCCCTTGTGCTGCAGGAGTTGCATGGGGATGTAGTTAGAGACCGCAGGGCTCTGCAGTCCATTGATTATTGACTATGATCAGTAGAGCTTGTGAACGATTAGGGGATGTGGCACACAGTTCTGCTTGTCTTTAGCATTCAAGAAATAGCTGATTAAAACCCAGTCTAAAGAGTCACCTTCCCGGGCCAGACCAGCTGTGCTGCCAATGCTACTGGAGCCACGTGAGTCACTAAAGCAGAAGCCCTAACGGAGCCCCTGGTGGCCTCGGGGAAGGAGCCAGGCCCCTTCCRTGCCTTGCTCCTCACCCGTAGCTCTGCTGCAGGCTAAAGGTAGAGATTAGGCACAGCTAGGAGGGACTTTAAACTTATTATTAATAGTAAATGCTGCTCATACCTTTCTCCTCCTTAGAACAGACACTGGTTTTTGATTTTCAGATTTTGTGTGAAATTAAAACTTACAAAATTTTCAGCTGTTTCAACTACACACTGTTATTAAATGGTATTAAAATCAGGTATTAAAAGGCTTAGAGACTGTGAATGTTTGAAGTTAGACTTCAGGGTCTTATTAATGCTTCAGTTGCAAAATTCACTATTCTTGAGCTTTTGTTTCTTTCTAATGTTAAAGGGAAAACTAAATCTTTACAAGCCATGGGGACAGATTTGGGGTTTTATGCAGTTGGTTAGTAGAGCTATAAAATGAAATTTAATTCTGCAGTACGCGTTGCTTTCCCTCCATGTGTTAAATACACCAATACGAGCCAACTTTGTAATGATGGTAAATAGCTTTTCTGGTCCATTTGCAGACTGCAATAATCAAAGTCCTTTACATTTGTTTTACAGTGCTCCTGAGTGTTAAATTATCAGCCTGTAATTAGACATTGCTGCAGCATTAACCTTATTGAAAATATAGTTTTGGGGTAATGAGCCATGGGAAACCCATCCTGAGGAACGAGGGGGACACCCTCTGTAAATGGAAGATTGTCAGTGTGGAATCTCATCTTAAGTGTGGTTACCCTTAACACTTAAATTTAGTGTCTGGCAAAACATGTGTGGATGCAGCAGGCTCTGCAGTAGAAATGCAAGAAACAAACAGAAAACTCAGAAAATAAGGGTCATTTTTCAGCTGTTGTGTTATATCATGTAAAATAACATCTCCGCTTAGCACTATTAGGTGTGTAATGATSAGCTGAATGTCATCTGTGTTACAAATGTGCTGCGCCCCTCTCGGGGTGCGTTAGGAACRTGGAGCTGCTGTCACACACCCCCAAAAAAGAGAAATCAAGAGACTAATGTCTTGCTAATTGTAAATGTGAAGGAAAAGGTGATTGTGGAAGGTGCCCCGAGTTGTAACCTGCCGTTCTGAATAAACTCACGCTCATGGTCCCCCCAGCCGGGCTGGACGGGGGTTGTTCTCTGCGTGCGAGACCTCTCCTTTGGGAATATAAAGAAGAACAATTGGGGGAGTCACAGGCAGCAGCACATTGAGGCTTTGGTGCCTCAGTGGGTCTCRGAGTGGAAGAATGGGACTAAATATCCAGCTTCATAACTAGTTTCCTACTCCAGTCTTTCTTCCCCAAGCCTGAAAACAGCTGTAACAAATAAAGACTGGAAAAGTCAGTTTATAAATCTTTATCATAACAGTAATGCTGGATTGTTCATTATATAGCAGCATTATTCTGCCATTGGGTTACTTCTACAAAGAATATTTTAGAAGGGTGAGTGAGAAGGCCCTGTAAAAAGTAACAACTAAATTACCCCATTACAACTCCAAGAGCAGATTTCCTCCGTGCACTTCCCATGGGGTTCTCCTTCCTTAAAACAGCAGCACTTCCCTCTCCCTCACCACTCCGTCCTCCGGAGGTGCCGCTTGGGATGGCCAAAGTCTGGAAAGTTCTTGGTGTTTGGGCAGTTTGTTCTTTTCAAACGGACTCGAACTCTCTCTGCCAGGCCGTGTACTTCTGGCTCAGGTTCTTGGCCGAGGGCTTGGTGTGGGCGATCACGTCCAGGAAATCCGCTGTTGTGATCGTGTCCAAGCGGATCGTGGGTAAGGTGCTGTTCTCTGAAGAGAGGGCGACTCGTTAAATAGTGTAATTACTACTGAAAATACCTAATGCAAGAGATAATACACAGAAACAACTGACCTAGTAGAGGAAGACAAAAAATTTTGCTTGCGCAGATAGTGACAGTAAAAAAAGAAAAATGCTCATTTTTAAGATTTTTTTTTTTTTTCTTAAATATCCCATTTAAAACTTTTCCAAGCAGATAACAGAGCTCCACCTGCTGGGGCTACCACTACAATTCCAAGGGTTCCCAGCGTGGCTCAGCATTTCCCACATGGGGTTCTCTGCGGTACCTGCTTGATGATTTTCCAGAGCACTGAATATTTTCCTCACTGGCCTCATGGCCGCTTCCTTGCAGACCAGTCTGATGTCGGAGCCCGAGTAGCCCTCGGTTTCCTGTGGCAGGGGCAGAGCACACAGCACAGCTCAGCCTTGCAAGTCACATGGGAATCAAATTCCCAAGTGTATATATTTTTAGATGGATTTCTATAAATACATTTGCAAATTTCACTCCCTTCTAAAATACCCATATGCATTAAAGTATACACACACGCATACATATTTATGCGTATCTACATATAAAGTATGCACGAAGCACTACGTTGCTTTTCTTGATCCGAATGCGCAAGGTATGTTGCAATAACTAGCAAAATATTGGGCATTTTCTTTCTTRGGGGCAATTTTTCATAATAAAACTCACCCAAATCCACTTCCTAAGTTGCCTGATAATAAAACAAACACATTTCTTTTCTAACCTTTACAAAACAGCATCGGAGCAGAACTGTCTCCGGGACCACGAACCAGGGCGAGCAGCCCGCGCGGGTGAGCCCCTTTGGAGGAATGGAATGCAGGCGGATCCCGGGATGGGGCCTGGGGCCGGACTCGGCGCGGGGGCCGCGCTCACCTGGCCCAGCAGCGCGTAGTCCAGCTCTGCGCGCAGCTCCGCGCGGCCGGCGCTCAGCGGCGGCAGCCAGTGCCGGATCATGGCCTGTCGCGCCTCCCCGCTCGGCAGGCCCACCAGGATGCGCTTCTCCAGGCGCCGCAGCATGGCCGGGTCCAGCTCCCTGCGGGACAACGCGCAGGAGACACCTCAGCCTCCCAGCCCCGGTGGCTCCCCGGCTGGTCGGGAAAGGAAGGATTCGCTGTCCCGCCTATCCGCGCTCGCCGTGTTGGCAGCACTAAAGACACAAGTTACCATCATCTTGAAATGCAAGCAATGAAATAAAGCCACAAAGGGGAGCATCCAGTCAAAGGGATCACGTGAAAGATGGACAGGCTGGAGAAACGGGAACCAGGATCTCGGGCAATACCGGCACTGATAAAGTAAGTTTTGCCTTCAAAATCTTTCATATTCATCTCCAAACCATGCATTTTAATCTGTTTTTCTCCCAAGTGCTCTGCTGTTGTTTGTATCTAATGGTAACAAAACTGAATCCAAAATTATTTGCAAAAAAATGCAAGCAGGGAAACTGAGGGCTAAGCAGCGTTGTTGGCTGGGAGCTGTTCTGTCCATCAGTCTGCCCTTACGCAGAAATTACCTCCATTTACTGAGAGAGGTCACAGGGCCCTGCTTGTTGGCTAAGGAGGAAAACAGTTATCTAAGGGTGTTCAGGTTGTTTGCCACAATCGTTTTGTTACTGATCAAATGCAAGCTTAAATGGCAATAATATCCAGAATAAAACAAGCAAAGAAGCAACATCAGTGGTTGCAGTGCAGCAAAAAGAGCTTTTTTAGGCTTCTCTTCATCCACCTGAAAGCAGCTTGGCCCTCTTCTGGGTTGTGTTTTGTGGGGTTTGGGTTTTTTTGGATCATCAATAAATATCCAATTAAACCAATCTCTTAAAATCTATCTTAACACCAATGTCTGAAAGAACACAGGGGCTGACCTGAAGCCACAGCCTTCAGGGCACTCAGGCACTAGGTATTTCATAAATTTAGCTGCATAAATGTGTAATTATTTCTGATTTTTTAAAATGTATGCATATAAAATACGGTACAAGATGGTGTGGTCTACTACATAGACAAATATACAGCAAACATGGACTGGAGATCATCAGGTGGCAGTTCAAGCCCCGCTGACACCTCCAGAGGCAACGTGGATATTCCCGGGTTCCCCCTGGCTGTGAATCACGGGAGCTGAGCGGGAGCCTCGCGGATTTCGGTGGCTTTCCAAGCACGTACTCAGGCACGTTTCTAGAGCATCATTTTCTGTGCTGGGCACGTTCTGCCCAACCATCTGGTGGTGACGCTCGCAGGATTTGCTGAGGAGAGGGCGAAATCCAAGCAGCCCCATGAAAAACATTGGAAAATTCCCGAAAGTGGAAGCTGTCCAGTGGGAGCGGGTTTCTGGCAATAGCTCGGCTCCACCCCCATCCCAACACGATCTCTGGCTTTCCATAGGAGCAGTTCCCCTGAAATGGAAGTCTTGTCATTTTGCATCTACATTAGAAGAGCGACGTCTTCTTTCTTTGGCATTTCAAGCAGGCAATTTTGCAGAAAGCAGCACTTTAGAATAGCAAAACACTCCGAAATCCAGCGTGCGAGACATTCCAAAGGGTGTTCGGCAATTCCAGACAGGACTTTCCATGAACCAGCTGCTCTCGGAGCTCTCCTTTGTGCCCATTTTTCCTTTCAAAGCAGCGTGCCCAGGAAAACCTGGATGCTCCAGGGACAAGTGACCCCTGCAGCCCCACGCTGCGGCTCAGCTACAGGGGCAGGGAGCTGGGCACTGCTCCTCTCCTTCCAACACACCAGTGACCTCCTAACAACRTAACCATTTACTAGGGTATTGCTGATGAACCAGAGAAGAACGGGCTATTAAGGTGTTAATTCTCCTCCAAAGTTAACTCTTCACACTCCCAGTTGCTCCTTGTTTCTCACCATTTTCACATACAGATTGTAACACAAAATAGGGTAGATTTTGCACTGCAGTTGGATCCAGCCAGGTGTCTTTTAGCACCAAAACATGAAGTATTTCAGCTCCCATTATCAACCACTTGCATTCTAAATTACATTAAACAAACTGGAAAAAAAAAATGTCCCCATCTTTAAAAGTCACGTTTGATACTGATAAAAATCCCTCCTTCCTATTTATGGAGTATCCTAAGTCCTAGATGTTTTAAGCACCTTATAGCTCCAAGCTGAAACCCTTCTTAGCTTAAACRTAGTAAATAACTTGGCTATGAAAGTATTCCATTCTAAATATTAGCAGCTAGTAGCACGAGCATATGTTGAATTTACTGTGGATTACTGTCATGTGGCACAAATGGCAAGAATCACAGAGTTTAAAAGTAAAAGCCCCAAATTAATCTTTAAATGCTTTAACCAAATATCAAGGCTTTTTGTTTTTTTTCCCTGCAAAATTCTAAATAAAATCTTTATCTGTGCTTAGAAGCTCAAGCAAATGTATTCAAAATGTACTCTGTGGATCTCTTACCACGGCAGATTGGAAGCTGCTAAAACAAATACAAGATCATCAGATCGGGCCAAGCCATCCATCTGCACCAGTAATTCTGTTTTCATCCGCCGACTTCCTTCGTGTTCACCCCTACCAAGATGCAGAGAAACGTTATTTGTTCAGGGCATTAAAATAATCATCTTTATTTATACRGTGTCATTCACAGCAACTGAGCCCTCGTCGCAGTTTTGTCCCAGTTCAGGGCATGATTAAGCCCCATTAGCTGACAGGCAAGCATTAGGAATCAAGCTTTGTAATGATTACTTAAATGGACTCTTTGCGGGGCATTAAAGTGAGGAGAGTTCACTATTACTGAACCCAAAGAAAATATATGCTTAGGGTGGTTTTGCTTCATATTAATCTTTATGCAGAGTTGATGTTTACTGGAAAACACTGATTGATGTAGGAGACTTTTTGGAACGTGACAGTTGGCATTAAGCAATTAAGACATCTACCTATCCAGGGCAGTTATTTGCACTTTTCTGAGGGAATTTCAAGTGGTGACATGGAGAGACATGTACTGCTGGCATTCAATATATCACAAAATGCTTTATCAGAAGCAAACAGAAAAATAAGCGGTATTTCAACAAAGYGGGAAATAGGGCAGAGTTCTTGAAACAGCACGAAAAGGATCATTCCGCAAGGGAAAAAAACAGAACTTAAGGACTTTGTAAATTACTAAGCAATTACTAAAGAATAGTAAATCACTAAGAATTTTGGCCCTGATCCAGAAAATCAATTTTGCAGGAAACTTGTTTGAATTTCAGGTCTCTGATGCGGGATTCTTGGTACCCTGCGGAACTGAATCCAGAAAAAGACACCATGGCCTCAGATGGCAAAAACTAGAGTTCAGGTTTAAGGTATTTTCTACAAAGGCAGCTAYGGATGCCTCCTCCATCAATGCTTAATAATGACACAATATACTACCCTACAGTCTGAGCTACAAACCATGCTGAAAATAGATCATCTAGTGAGGTTAATGAGAGCTTTAGAAAGACATATAAAGGCAAAATTTAGCCCCTAATTCATGGCTATTAAATTTCAAGTATTACATGTTGCACATTTACTATATGGCCTATTCTATTTATATATCTCTGAGTCTTTAATTTACAACAGATAAACTTCACTGTTAGGAGCACCCAAGGGATATACCAACTTCTATATGCTTTTCCTGCTGCTTCCCCACGCTCAGTCTTTCCAATCTCTTTTCTAAACCATCAACCATCTACACCATGGATGGCAATAATAATAATAATATTCTCCCACTCCTGCAAGTTCTGACAGCACCAGCAACATTTGTCCTGTTAAATGAAAATGGGATTTCACTGCACATCTTACCCTGGGATGCCCCGCTCTGCCCAAAGCATCGCAAAGTTCTCCCTCACCTCTAACGAGCCATCTCCATTTTCCCCACTGCCTTTACTTTCTGTYCCAATATACAACTTTAAAATACCCCAGTGTAGGTTATATAGCTTGCCAGGCCCACTATTTCCATGGTATAACCTGTTAACCTTCATATAACCTGGTTCATGTGATTTCTCCTCTACTGATCCCATCCGCTGTGAATGAAGGACCAACCACGTCTCCCTTTATAAGTCCCTGCGGTGCAGGCAGTGCTGCTATGAAACGGTACTGTCAGAGCCAGCAGGCTGACAATGCTGCATTACTCTGCTCCTAAAGCTGACAACAAAAGAAAAATTGCTTAAAAGTCATGAAAATTATCATAATTGCTCACAAGAATCATACTGCTGATAAAAAGGACTAGTCTTTGGGGGCCCTGGCACGTTCTAACAGTTTGGCTCAGATTTGATTCTAGCAGGTATGCTCTGTGATTTACCAACAYGTGAGCAAACCCACTCCTGAAAAAACTCAGTGTAAGGGGGAACAATTCCCTGATTCCCTAGGAATGGATCTCATCAGTTACCCAGCCCCGGCGCCTCTTTGACTCATRACTGACTCCAGCTCATCCAAGAAAATCGTGGAGGGAGCGTGGTAGCGGGCRAGCTCGAACAGCACCTGCCAGGGAGCAAAAGCAAGAGAAAAGATCAGCAAGAAAGCTGACATACACACAGGGGAAAAAAAGGCATTAAGGGCCAGTGACACAAAAGATAAATAACAACACCCACATTGCAGAACTTCTAGGACAAAAAGGGATATACGCTGGGAAAAGGCTCAGGGTTGGCCGAGGGTCCCTGAATCCTCTCAGATTCAGAAAGGTTTATAAAGGAGAGATAAAGAAGCCAGGCCCATAATCCTGTCTCTATATGTAAATCTTTCTGTCTAAATCCTATCAGAGTACCCTGAGAATAATGGGATAGAAGAAAATGATCCATCAGAGGATTCTGGGAACTTCTAAATTGTTATCGGAGATTAAACCCCTTTCTTCTGTTATTGTTGCTCCATTTGTAGCTTTTTTAAATAAGGATTTGAGGAAAAAAAATCACTGAAACATAATGAAAGAAGAAAATGGACTGATTCTCTTGATAAGAATTAAGAAGGGKTTTTTTTTTGGCTGGTGAAAACAAATGTAAAACAAAACAAATGTAAACTGTTGAAATAATCAGGGTTAGATTAAAAATGGAATACTAAGCTGACACAAAATCTGGGTCTTTCAAAAAGAAAAAAGTTTTATCTATTTTTGCTGTAAACACAAAAGGAGTTTTATTAATAAGAATACACAGCTAATTGTTCCTCAGTGTGGTGCCCTTTGACTTTCTAGACAAATATCACTGAAAGCATCTATTAACCAAGCACTTTTAATCTGACACTTAAAGAGTTTCAAAGGTCTGTATGTTTTCTCTCTGCTTTGTATATGGAGCCCAGGGTTTACACTGTTTGCCTTGAGTCCCAAGGAATCCATGACTGSTGCTTGTAATTAGCACTGCTGGAGGCAGCACAAGTTGTAATTAAGTAGCTGCCTGATATAATAAACTTGCCACGCGAGTAGCTTTTCCAAGGTGGCAGCTGAAACAACAAGTGGGTGCCATGATAGCAATTTTGTTTGTACACYTCCTATCACTAACAGACATTGACAGTTTGCGGCTTATAATTTTAATCACAAATTTAAAATATAAATTTACTCTCATGCAGCTAAGAATTGAGAAAAAAAGCATGAGGAATTCTTCTAAATGAGCACAAAACCAATGTATGCTTCACACAGCTGCAGAAGACCCTACGCTCCAGACTCATGTAATTTCATCATACGACTCTYCATGGAATATTTCTTAGAGCTGCCCATAGTCACAATCCTATTTCATTTCTGGATTCTGCCAAAAATACAACTCAGGAGGAAATAGCACAGGTTCAACATCAACGCAAACGCTGCAACATGTTCACAAAACCCTCAGGTCTGCGCTGTGCCACAAAGCAGCTCACTSCATCCCTTCTGACAGCAGGGAAACTGCTAGGAAGTTCCTGAGACAGATGCCAGGAAGATCAATGCATCTTCTGCTAGAAGAAAAATGTGCATTTTACAGGACAAGAGACACACTAAGAAAAATTACGTTGCAAGCACTGCCTGAATTTGGAAGGACATTTAAAATACCAACAATGCTGGTGCTGCCATTTGCCAAGTGCAATCCATCATGATTGCTCTGTATCTCTGTATCCCTCTGAAGTRCATCCTAACCGATGAGTGTAAAGGAAGACTAAAAGACCTGGACTTCTGCCTGTGAGACAGCTGAATTACATGCACTGCTTGCCAGTCTATAGGCCTATATATGCATTTACCTACTTCTCAGATGATTACCCACCTTAAAAGAGCATTATTGGCTCTGTTGACTGTAAGATCTTTATGACGAGGGAATTCTTTAGCAATTCCACATCCTGCAGATTATGAATAGCTGTGAATTTGGAAACTTACACAACAGATGCATTTTCACAGGGAGCCTAAGAGCCAAACCTTGCAGAAAGGACATGAAGCATTTCAGAGGGGTCACTAAACAAGTGCCATTTTATTTAGGCATTCTGCTTGCCGGTCCCTTACCAGTGGGTCAAAAATCTTTGCTGGCTTTGGGGTATCTGCTTCAACCTGTGTTACAGAACTGAAATTCTAATGCAAGAATCCAGCATGATACTTCTGCAAAACRATGTGACTCCAGTTTTAAAAGATGGATACAAAACAGAATCACRTGCTTTGTCTGAGAGGGAAAAAATGAGTATTGGAGAAACACCCGTTTAAAAATTCTATGTTTATTTCATCTGAAAACTCTAGTTCTTTCAGTGAGAATTTTAAATGATATTGTTAAAGTATGTTAAAGATCATTCTTACCCGGACAAGTTTTTCTGAATCGCCTCTCCACTTGCTGACAATCGTGGATGCTGATATGTTGAAAAAGGTTGTATTGCATTCCGTGGCCACAGCCTTAGCAAGCAAGGTTTTTCCGGTACCTACAAACAACAACGTTGAAGAAATTCCCTCTCCAGAGAAATACAGTGCAAATGTCTCAAGAGGAGAATAAATTGGTAAAGTCTTTCCAGGATGGTCAGAGTCCTTCTGTGGAAAGTCCATCCAAGCATTCACAGGAGCAAACGGAGCTGACTGCAGTAGCAGCCTTTGCAGCCTGCCTCAGCTTGGCCCCTCAGCCACCTCAGTGCTGTGGCAGAGCTTTATTCCTTGCATCCACGTGGAGCAGAGGGAGCCAGGAAGCCCTGCTGACATGGAAAACCAACTAGCACAAAGGACAGAGGCTCCTTCCCATTTCCAAGACAATCCCTAAAGGCTGAGGGAAGGCAAGGACATTTTCCTTAAGAAGGCAAGTTTGAGTCAGATATAGTCACATTCTAAAAGATCAAGTCAGGCCAAGATTAACGTGGTTCAAGTGGAACAACAACAGAAATATGAATTAAATCCTCCCTCCGCTGAGTGGCCAGTATAAGGAACATGTTTTGGAAAATTCAGGTGTAGGAATAGTCCTTATCTTGTGTGAAAGGCAAATGGACAGATTTAAGCAATGAGAGACAAACATAATTATCCAAATTGTCTCCTTTTACTTCAAAATACAGAATACGTTATTAGTGATACTTAAATACATTTGATTAGCACCAAGAATTTATTTGTAAAGCAAAGCATAAATATCCACTAGGGATAAACTAATGGATATGGTACAAGGCTCTCCATACCTGGTGGCCCATACAGCAATAATCCTTTCCAAGGAGAGAGAATGCCTGTGAAGAGTTGTGGGTACTGTGGAAGCAAAGAGGTAATTCAGGGATTATATGCATCATCTGTAACGAACTACAAGGAATTCCAACCCCCTACCCACTGCTCCTAATGCATTCACAAAACCTGAGAAAACCAAAGAGGTAAAAAAGTTTATAAAAACAATATAATATGATCTGAATACTGAGAAAAATACTATATTTAACTGATGAAATCTTTTTTTTTCCTCAAATGCAACTGGCTAATCTCTTCTGTAAGTAATTTCCCTCTGAAATGGTATAGGACAGATCCACCGTCTTTTATATTGCCAAAGTGCTAAGAATAGTACCCAAAGTTGCCCTTTTAATATGAAATGCTATTTTCCTATGGAAGAATCTGTGTGACATGGTCAAATAAAACCCTGTTATTCAAAGAGGAACTGCCCCCAAAATCACAGGAACAGTGAGAATGCAAGAATGCATTTACAAAGAAACTTTGTAAGAAACTTTACTTTGCATTTACAAAGAAAATGCTAGGCAGCCCAACAGTGATTTTCCCAAATCTATTCAAAACCTTACCCGTATGGGATAAACAACAGCTTCCTTGACTAGTCTTTTGGCTGCATCCAGGCCAATAATATCATCCCACTTCACGTTTAGATTATGGAGATAAATATCCTGTAACATATTGCATCCAGTTAGCAAAAACTGTATTTTCATGCCCCAGGATAACCACTGCTGGCAAAGCAAAAGAGTCCACCTGGGTTGCAAAGCAACAGTGCTGTTAAGTGATGCAAGTTTTAATTTTCCTAAAGTCAAACATATATGCAGCCCAGATCGGCTACGTCCAACAGTGACCAGCTAATAAATGAACTGCTACAGTGATATTAAGACCTACCAGGTTTAGTATTTGGCCTCTGATAGTGACAAGTGCTGGATGATGAAAGGAAAAGCATAAGTAGTGGCAGAGATAGATTGGTATTTCTACACATCCAGCTTCTGGAAATGTGCAACTTTGGCAGCTAGAAGCAGCCTTTGTGCCCAACCACTGTTTGTTGTTCACTCCTCAGGGAATCTCTCTGACCTCTTTTTGGACACACACATATTGTAGCAATGAGTTCCACAGTTGAATCACGTACCATGTGAAAAAGTACTTTGGTTTGAACTTACAGCTCAACAGCTTGCCTGATGGCTGCATCTACGACTTAAGTTATAAATAACAGTGAAAAATTGCTCTGTGTTTACTTCACTCTATGCAAAAATCACATATACTGCAGGGAAAGGTGCAAGAAGCTSTGTAGCAGGAGAAATATTTCCCCTTATGCCTCTCTCTGCTTTCCAAAGATAGTTGGTAATTAGTCTGTGCTCTGAAGCACTGACTCTATTCCATTTAATTCATTGAACTTTCCAAATCTTCTGTGGATCTTTCCATGTGTCTTAGTAGTATTTCATGGCCTGGTGTTCCAGAGACTAARCGTTCTGCAAAAAATATCATATCCTCAATACAAATACTTGGGATAAATTCTTCTCTTCAATAAAAATGGCAGTTCCTAGAGACTGAAGAAAATTTATGTGCTTGTATCCAAGGGGAAAATCTGATTTAATACAATTAGAAAAATTATTTATCTAGAGTAGATTACACTTTCCCTCCCTGTTAACAACAAATTAAGATGAATCAGATTTATGATACTAAGGGCTTCTGTAAGTGCTTCCAAATTAAATTAGATTAAATGATGAAATAAATACCACATGCTATTTATTTTTATCGATTTAAAGTGATAGTGTGATAATTAGCACAGCAACTAGGAACATACTAACACAGATTTAAAAATCATTCCRTAACAGAAGCTAAAGCAACTCTATTGTTTTTTTTTTTTTCTTCTGTAAAATAGCAGTAAGAAAAACACTGTTTTACATATTCATCATAAATATAAAACAGAGAAGCACTGAAGTGAATGGAAGGCTGAAACAGAGGTCCAACCTTACTTTGCTTACAACTGTTGCAAGTTCTCTCATCTCGCCACTCATGCCAATAAATGCACTAAGGGGTTTTAATAATCGCTCCTAAAAGACAAAAATAAGTACTTGTTAAAGTTCAATTATTTTAAAGAGAAGACAAATTGTGAAATAATTTCAAAAAATTGATATATCATAATACTAACTTTTCAAGCTGCAAAGCTATGGATATAAGAATAACAAGTATATACACAACGTATTTTGAAATAAGTCATATTTGCATTAACCTCCTCTTTCCCAAGGGAGGTTTAAAAACTTTTATCTTATCAGTTTGCTACACTGAAGAAATGACAGATTCTGAGCCTGAATTAACATTACAATGAGTAGCTCTCTTCCTTGGCAAGTAGTCCTAAATTTTAATAATGTGGATTAAAGCTGAAAAATGTAAATATGGGTCATCAAATTGCCACATGCTCCRTTTTGAAATTTTCTTCAAATGCAATAGTGGCCAGAGAGACAGACTCAGCCTGGCACCGAGTAAGCTGGAAGCACTGGCCTCGAAGTTGTGGCTTGTATCAGCAATAATCCACTTAAAACGTCTATCCCAATTCCCAAAACCTCTGAAATGTGTATCCCAATCCTCCACACTGTGGTCCTGACTCTGAGGTGAACGCTGACAGACTGAAATAGGTGGAACCAAAATTTCACCTACATAAAGTTCTGTGACTTTCTTCAMATGGAGTAGTTTGTGACTTGTAGAGGTATAACTTTTATTTGTTGCCTACTGCTATATTGAAAGAGTAAACAGCTGTCAATATATCAGAGCAGGATCAAGAACAACTAGAAAAGGAAACAAGCTGCCAGGAACCAAGCCCTCTTTAGAACTTGGGGACCCAGACAATGCTTGTCATTTTAYCTTGTTCTTGGCTCTGTAATTGATATCGTGCTAATTGGATAAAATATGAATAGAAACACTTACTGATGGATCTGGATCACAGTTAAGGCTGCTCAAGGCTATCTCGTTTGATGATACTTTGATGGCATCTTGGATCATCCCACGGAAGTCAATTACTTGGCCCTTTGGAGAAAAGCTGTGATATCAGGATGGTAGCTCTACCTCTAAAAATGCACTAGGCCAAATTTTGCTTATGGTTTCTGGGCATTGTTCCCTTCCTGTCTGTATASTTCTAAACATGGCAAAAACTGAATCAGTGGCAGCAATGGCATAAGAATGCACAGCTCACCTGCAAAACTGCAGCACTTAACAACTTAACTGCAAAATCTCTTACGACCTCATTCAAGAATCTGAGATCAATCTTCAACTTTAATTATAAACACTGAACCTTAAGGACACGAATACTGCCCACATCAGATAACATTGACCTTTCTGCTAATTATACAGTGACATTTTATATAAAAACACACAAAAAGTTCACATATATTTGTGATTTCCCCCCCTCCACACACACATTCCTCTTTTAAAACACGTATTAGGTTTCTACAAACCCTTTTTGGGTGAGTGCCCTCCCCTGCTCCAGCTTTGTTGACTGATGAGATGCTTAAGCCAAAGTCAGATTGCTCCGGAGGAACTGCACTCTCGTTATTCTAAAGAGAAATCAATTTTAAAATAAATGTGTTATTGAGTAGATGAGCTGCAGATATCATCCCATTATATGTGTCACCCCATCTCTTTATATATGCCCAGATGAACTGTTTCATACACAGAAACTGCAACAGGAATCTCCTGTCAAACACTGTTGTGGGGTTTGCTGGACTTCAGTCTCCCTGTCTGCTCACAGCATAGCTCTAAAGCCCAACATTCAGATATTTCATTTGCAGATCTCCCCCTCTGAGTTGTAGAAATCTGCATCTTGCTCCGCAGTGAGAAGAAACTGCACCAACATACAGCGGAAAGGACTGCCAAGCACAAGGCACAGTGCATCTGCTTAGACAGATATAAGGAGACACTTAAGGACTGTAAGTTACTCTGACTTTCATTTCAAAGCAGTTACTGCTGTAGTGTTCAAGAGCTATATTAAAAACAAACAAACATGAGAACCAGTCCCACAAAGAAAATGAGCAAAGACCTTAAAAAAAAGGAGGCTCTCACTCACCCAGTTCCTCAAAAGCTGTAATAAAATACCTTATTGCCCACCAACCTACTGTTCCTGCTCCCTACAATTTAAGGTAGTGCAAGAAAGCAGTTTTCTCAGCATTTTTTATAAAAAGACTCACAAAGTTGTAAATTACTGAACCAAATTACTCCTCCAAGCTCAAACACTTTATCCCTGTAAAGATGCTTCAACTAACATCAGACTTACTACTTGCTTTGTTTTTCCTGCTTTCTGGCACTAAAGGATCAATCCTTAAACTCACCAAGTTAAAGACTCCTGTTGATTTCAGCACATGACAGATAATAGGAATTCTTGAATGGAGTCTTGCATCTGTTACACTTAAATTATGCAAACAGTAAAACCCGTTTAATTTCACAATCACAAACTGTGCATCTTATATCCTCTCACTGGCTATCAGACTCACAATAAAACCCTACTAATTGCAACTGTAACATTGTCAAGATAAAACACATCCAGACCTGTTTGGGGCTCTCCTTGGTGGACGATTTCAATTCCATTGTCTTCCCAGGTGAGGTTTTTGACAACGGTYGCTGCACTGTCTGGTGATTGATCCTTGGAAGAATCTGGGAAGAACTTGCCGCCCTACAACACAAAAAATCATGTCCTGAAAGGCTTTTACAACTTCTTGTTTTACTCAAAATACTGACAGATTAAAAAGCACAAGTTTCRGATAAATTGTTTTGGGGGCAACTTTGTTTTGCTTAAAGGATTGATTTCAACCACAGTGAAGTGCAAAGACCATTGCTTTTTCAAACATTCCATCCTACCTTATTCCACAGTACAGAAACTTTAGCAAACTGTCTATATACCTCCACTTAGTTCTTTAAAAAGTTCTTTACTTTCTTCTAAAAGATACAGGAAAACACTCTATGTGATCAGCATGATTCCAGGCTGATTTAACCAAGTTCAGGATTCCCACAGTATCACACCTGTATTTTCCCTACATTGCATGTTGCTCTTGGAGAAAAATTTTCTTCCCAGAAAATGCCCCATGCTTTCTCTTACCTTCTTGGCTTTCTTCCAGCTCTCAGTTGCTGTTTATTTTCTGCTGTGGCAAAATTAACATTGAGAATATTAACATAATTAATATTAGTATTAACGTAACAATCTTGACATAGTTAAGAACACAAAAAAGGACAACGTGACTTTTTTTTTCTTTTAAAAATGTCTTTGAGCGCCTATTAATGCCTTCAGAAACATGCATAGACAGCATCAACACGATTATAAGCAATTCAAACCTGCAAAAATGCTTTGAAAACAGAACCAATATTGGAGAGATCTGTTTTCAAAGTTCAACCTTAGTAAATCTTCTGATCCATTTAATCTTTGGTTTCCCTCTTCATATTTGAAAACAAATGTCATTTTCACAGTACAATGGGCCCTACCACAAATCAGATGAAGCACAACAGACTAATTCCATATACCTTACAGAATAATTATTTAATGCTAATAACTTTTCCCTTATCAAATTAGGATATAAAAAGCAGCCTCAATGTTAGTACATCTATCATGTTCAACAGAGCAGGGCAGCAAAATGGTTACACTGCAATCACTGTTATCAAACTTAATTTTTCTTGTTATTGTTGCTTGCAGAAACTTCGGTCACAGTAAACTTTTCCACAAGGGTGTATTTTAAACTAAATATTTAATCAGAAATAGAATTTAATCAGAAATAGAACTGACTTATTCTGATTCTTATTCCATTAGAGGGGAAAAAAATAAGCCTTCATACTTTGCAATCACATAGAATTTTTCCAATACTAAAGTACATTTAAAAACAGGAAAATACCATCTTGTTTGTTTAGAAGAAAAACAAAGAAAGGCTGAAATTCCCATGTCTCTTATTCCTATGTCCTAAGTGCTAAAAATGCACCTCTGTAACATAAGAGATTTCAAACACTAAACAGAGACATGCATGGGAAGCACAGCAAGTATTTCAGGTAAATACATACTTTAAGCTTTGAGAGAAAATAATAATAATACTAATAAAAGTTTTTTTCTTGAAACACAGGCACATACCAGTGTCTAGGACCTTTTTGGTAATCTTAGGATATTTTTGGAATTTTACAAAGTAATAGCTTTCATATTCCATCAAAATTGTCTCAAGATCAACGTTGTCACAAACTTCAAAGCCACGTAAACCTAATTTTGTCTCTTGTTCCAAAGCATTTGCAGCATCAATATACCTGGTCAGTTAAAAAAAAAAAAAAAAAAAAANACACAGGCACATACCAGTGTCTAGGACCTTTTTGGTAATCTTAGGATATTTTTGGAATTTTACAAAGTAATAGCTTTCATATTCCATCAAAATTGATTGTCTCTCAACGTTGTCACAAACTTCAAAGCAAGCCACGCCTACCTAATTTTGTCGTTTGTTCCAAAGCATTTGCAGCATCAATATACCTGGTCAGTTAAAAAAAAAAAAAAAAAGGAAAAAGAAAAGAAACAACAACCCAAGAGTCAGTATCTTACTCTGATTTTTGAGAGAAAAAGCAGCGTCATCCAAAAGTACATACTGCTTCATGGATGTCCATATCTATTCACTACAAATGCCATAAACTGTATTTAAAAGTCCTTTGCTGAGCGCTTAAATATATTTTTAAACTGATAGAGCATATTTTGTTCCAGAAACTGAAACGAATTAAAGTAAATGGTCAAAGTATTTAACAGTAGTTTWCCTTTTTAATCTCCCTCACATAGAACCAATAGGCCAGGTTGTACATCCACCCAGCAGAGGGCAAAATTACATATTACAGAGAAGCAAATATTTGTAGGACACTATTATTTAAAAGACGTACCCTTCCTCTGTTAAATAATGTAAAATCAGAACGAGGAGGTTTTTGCGACGGGCTTCTGTGCGCATCTCTTCCTGTGGATTAAGACAGAAGTCTTAGATTAAATGTAATATTCTCTTTATTGCTGTAAACAGCGTCTAAATATAGCCTGTGGAAACAAACAAGTTAAGACAGCAGCATCTCAGAACTGTAAAACAACACACTGTTAATAAGCAGAAGTGTTTTTCCATGTGGTTTTTCTTATGCATTATCAGGGGCTTGGATGGGAAGAAAGCTTTTTCCAAAGGAAATAAAATTACCTTGAGGTTGGAAAAATAAGTTATTTCCCTTACTGCGACTGTTTCTCCAAAAGGTCTGGGATCTGCATGACTACAGTGCAGAGCCCAGCTCAGCACTGTGGGCATCTCCCATTTCACGTGTCTCAATATATCAGTGCAAGCCAAATACAGAACACTTGAAGAAATCCTAGCTTTGGATAATGCCAGACCTGCCTAATTTTGCACAAGCACAGTGTAAGCAAGGCCCATAACGCAGAAATTCCACCACAGCACCAGTTTCATTGATTCTTCATAGAGATCTGGGTGACCAAAGGTGTTAGCGCTTGGTYCAGTGATAAGAGCACAGCAAAGCTACATTTAGACAAATAAATTATTGCCAGTGCTGGTATCCATAAGGACTTCCTCTGGAAATGCAGCTTCGTTGCAGCAAATTGCAGAGAGGGAAGTTCTGGGTGGTGGCACGTGCTGTAAAACCAGCTTCCCCTGTCAGTCTGCAGGTGTCTGCTACTTTCCCTGCTCACTGCAGATGATACCACAGAGCAAACTCCTGACATTCACACCTCTGAGGCAGCACCAGCAACCTACCTTTTATTTGGAAACTAATGCTTGCCCATGTCTGCTAATCTGCAAAAAGTACTGGCCAGAACATGGAAAACAGTCTCCTAGTGTGGCTTTTTTTTTCTTTTTTCCCCCTAGCTGTTTGTTCAGATGTGGGGCCATCTAGTGACACAGTTAGGAAAGGGCTGGGCTTTGCTTTTAACTTCATAGCCGTAAAGTTAAAACTTTATTTCTGTTTTGCTTGTTAAAAAAGACTTACAATTTTCCTTTAGATTTTCTGGAGAACAGAAGTAAATCATCTGAGAAAAGGATGAGAAAAAACTATTCCTCACCTCTCATCTTTGCTGCTTTTTATCTTGATAAACGTTATGTCACCCTATGCTGAGGAAGCTGCAATATCATTTGCAAAGATGATTTCTAAAAATTATTTTACAGATTACGAGTGCTTGAAGAATTAAAAATACTTATTAAATATATATATATATTTATCAACTAGATGAGTTCCAGAGAGGTGCTGCAAGAAGAACCCAGCACCCTGGGATGAAAGGAGCTCTCCCTCCTGTTGTTCCAATATTTGCAAACTGGTATTTGGAAAAATGAATGTGAATTGCCATCCTCCTGCTATTTCTCCTGAGCAATTTTAGTCACCTAGAACAGAGTTTGAGGAGTGAGAGCAAAGCTGGAGTCACTGCTTGCCGAGGAAGCCACTTGCACATTTAAATCCAACTGCTTGTGCTGATTTATTCCTGGGAAACCTCTCTGCTGCCTCTGCCTGCATACCAAAGGGCAAGCTCACAGCTGCCTCTAAATATTCAAAAAACAGCACAAAGCCACAGCGGTTGCTGCACAGAACAGACACATGAAGATTTCATGTTTGAGTATTTACAGGAGYGCTGACGAGGGAGAAGCACCTCCGTGTGATAAACTGGTAGGTGTTTGAAGACTCCTTGAAAAGAATCTACATTTTGGTGCCTCTCTTGCCATTAACCCCACTAGGTTCCTTCTGCTACCCCTAGGGRCATTTGAAATCCTCATCTAGGCAGGCATACAGTGAGAAGCAGCAGCTCAAATACTCTTTTAGGCATAGACTTGCATTGAGCAGTGTAGGATAATACTGTCTGTGCAATCCCCTTCAACCTTTACACATTAATGGTCTTGTTGTGTTGATTGAGTAGAGGCAAAATTGAACCTTTACCTCACAAAAAGGCAACCAAGTGAGCAGCATTTTAAAATAAGGGAGTAATTCAGGCTAAGTAGTCCATTCTATCTTTATTTTGTATTAATAAGGATGCAAATTTTGATGGTTAATTTGGAGAAGCAGACATCTGTCCAAAGAAAATTAACTGAGCCATCAAAACAGTTAATCAACTGACAACAGCTTGCTGAGATGAGATCTGAAAACCAGGATGGAGATATCAGTCTCTGGTCTGATCAGAGAGATCTTAGAGAGAAATCAAAGAGAACTTAAAGAACTTTCCCAATGTAACTGCTATCAAGTCAGAGCTCTGATTCACTGGAGCAGGGACCATGGCTTTCCCGCCCAAGCCCAAAGCTGCTCTCCCTGTTTTTCCCAGCTTTCCTCGACCACATTCCCATGTGTTCTGCAAGTGTCAGTGCTGCCAGCAACCTCAGCTGCCCACTTAAGCAGCTCGCTGCCCGCGCTGCTCTGTGTTCCCAAGCTCCATTCCCTAGGGACTCTCCTCACTCCAAAAACTCCCACCAAACAGCCCTTCTGCCAAAGCAGAGACAGGTACTGAACTACATGGGACTTCAGCCGTATTTAGAGAGGAAAGGGTGAGTCTTACATTGCACAAAAAAACCAAAAGCACTTACCAACACAAAGTTACTTAAAATTTAGTTTAGCCTTATAGTGATTTACTCTCCCTGTTTAATTAGTACTTAGAATTGCATGTTGTTTATAGCCACTGGTATTTCCATAGATGTTTGAGTGTTTAAAGTTTAATAAGCTCCCATTCTTAAAACAAAAAAAAAAAGTATGTAATTAAATTTTCAATTACTATAGAGGACTTTTGGGTCCATGCAATTAATAAAAGCTTAAAGCACTTAAGCGTGATCTTGTTTTAAAAGCTAAATACTTGAGCGCTTAACTAATTAACTACAACACTTACAGTGCATTTTATTTATTTCTAGCTTAACAAAACAGAGTGCTATGTACTACTTTTTTGCAGCCATTTAAATTCTATTAGTCATGCATCTTTAACTGCACTTGTTCACTTCGTTATTTCTGTACCTTTTACTAAAAYAGATTTACATTATAAATCAACCTAGTCTCGTGGGCAATCCCTTCAAATTAATGGTGCTCCTAAAAGACTAATTTAACCCCACAATGTTTCATTATTATTTGACCCTGTATTTCTGCATCGATATGTATGATTGCATAAAGGAAGAACAGAGTTAAAACTGTATCTAAAAAGTTTACAAATGACAACTTTATCATTGGAAATTGGTGCGTCCTCACTTTCAATTGGGGCAGCAAGTAGGACAGGAGTCCAACAGGATCCGTGATGAAGAGTTTGGACAAGAGGCAAGCAGGCAGTTCCAGAACCACATAAAAGTCTGTATCAAAATGCACATGCCTAAAGGGATAGCAGCTGCACGGGCACCCATACTTTTATAAACCATACTTTTTTGTAGTTCCTGACTTTGAAGCCTCGAGCTCACAGCCTAAAATAGCTGTTTGTATGTTGTGACATATAAACTTGTCATTTAATGGTGTAAAAACAAACAAAAATAAAAGAAGTGCAGCCAACAGCCACATTCCACATTTCTTGTCACTACAGCATAGTGTCACTAGCACAAACGTCTCGTTCTAGCTACAGGACTAACATAGCTGACCAAACTTATCTAAGAACGGTGACGGGCCACTGCAGGCAACACGGTGCTCGGATGGAAATTTACCTTTCCTAGTCGTGCAGGATTTCTCTCCCCATAGAGGGTAAAATGATTTTGCTGTCAGAGAAGGAGAACAGGACACAGGAAGAAGAGCAGACAGCAGAACTCACTTTAACTATTGCCCTTTCTCTTTCCTTCAGTGTCCCAGGACAACTGGCAAGCGTGGTGTTCCTGGAGAGCAGGCTGCCACACTGGCACTGAGCATCAGGCCGTCGAGAGTAGCTGGGGACCATCCCCTCACCCCTTTTTATCCCTTCCATCACCTCGGATCACCCCCTTCTCTTCCTCCCCACCATAGCCCTTTGCTGCTTCCAGATGCAGCTTTGCTAGTCTTTTTAGAAGACTGAGGTTCAATTTTTGCTTGGCTTCCTGACAATGTTTTCTGAGAAACACAAGCAGGGAGGAGAAATGGTAATTTTTAAAACGTGTATTACTTGGCTATGATTGAATAGAATTTCACAGCACAAAGGCAAAGCGCTTCTTTAGTCTCTTCTCTCTTCCAGATTACACAAGTCTGCAGCAAACAATAGAGCTGGCAAAGCTTCTTAAGAGGGATAATTAATAGTTTTCACAATTAAAAACATACAGCAAGCTCAGCACAGAAGTTATAGCTGTCCTGGCGCTAACAGAGATGCATGCAAGAGGTGTGGCATTTAAAATCTAAATACTTTTTACACTTGGAGTTTGGTGCAATGAAATCAAGTCTGATATTCAAACTAAAGCAACAGTTACTACAAATACGGTGGGTTACTAAACCAATTATAAAGGTGCTGRATTTGTTCACTGATTTTATAAGTGAATAATTATTCTAACACTCACTTGTGTGAATTAGCAAAGTTCTACCGCAGCTCACACCAATACTGMTTTTAGAGAGTGATTCACATATGAAATCTTCAATATCCTCAAGAATGGGAGGCATATGTATGTGTGTATGTACCAGCAAATCAGGGCAGAGKGCTGGATGCATCCAAAGGGAAAACATCCCGGGAGCCCTTTCTCTCCCTCTGAGGTTTTCCTACCCTCGCTGGTGCATGTTGCTATCCTAASCCTCTGCCATAATTCAATCAAATGCAACTAACTGAACCAAAGYCAGATGAAAGGAGCAAGAGACAGCTCTTAAGAACCCCACAGAGCCCCCCCAAAGTGCTGCTTTCATGTGATTACACCTCAAATACCTCCTTCTACATTGCCATCCTCTCCACGTTGCAGAGCAGCATCTCGGATGCCCTATTTGTTTCCAGCTGGAAGATGAAGTCGGGAGAAGGAAAGTGTGAAGTCCCTTCTCTGAGCACAGATTATCACTGTGATGTGACACACTTGCTCTTCTCTCTCCCACCTTTCCACCTTTGTTTTCAGCTACTCAGTTTAGCCCTCATCTTGCCTCAAACATGAAAATCCTGGTAAGTCTGAGGACCTTGGTCTAATAGAAAACTTACGTATGCGAGTGTTTTCTCTGTCAGGTCAAAATCTGAATTCAGCTCAGGTAATTAAAAGCTTTCTATGATCAATAAATGTTCATATGTTTCACTCATCACTAAATAGCTGGAATCAGAASAGAATTATTCTACTGGGATGTAAGTGCTCGTTATTTCAGGGTGGTTTTTGGTGTTGTTGCTGCTGGATTTTGTTTTTAAACACTTTTCCCCAAATTGTTGAAAAAACAATAATCTCCATTCTATGGAGAGGAAGAAAAAAAAAAAAAGAAAAATTGCAACAGAGATAAGACCAAGACTGGGAATCAGAAATTCCAGCAAYCCTTTTGCTACAAAAGCAACATGGAGCAGCTTAACTTGCTTACAGGATTACTAGAATTCAAAAAACAGAAATTAAATACCTAGGATATTAAATACCTAGAAAATACGAGACCTCAGAACAAGAATTAAGAATAATGATCCCGTTGGCTTTGTTCAGTTGTTCCTGTGCTGCTTTGTTCAGTTGTTCCTGTGCTGGTTAAGCCTTTGCTTAACCCAAAACAGGCTCCAAATTCCTGGACATCTTCAGAATTTGAACTCCCTCTGCTTAGTGTGCAAGCTGGAAAATTTAACCTACACATCTATTCTCTCGAACCCTGCAGAGAGATCAGTTTATGAAACAAACCMGGCAAAAATGAGCAACATCACTTACAGGAAAAGAATTCCCAGATTCCAGGTCTTACTTCCAGATGGGTTTCTGCATTTAATAGTCAAAAACAGCCCAAGGAGCAGAGCCACTCAAACTCTCATTAGTTACCTGAGGGTCACAAAACCCTATTCCCTTTTCTCCTCTCTTCCCAGCCCTAGGAGCCCTGTTTCTCATTCACACATTAAAGCCAGGTCAAGTGCCTGCTCTGGAGCACCATTCCCAGCGGTCGGGATCCGAAATCCTCCGGAGGGCTCAAGGAGGCCCTCACGGAGCCTCCCCTGCCAGGGTGTCCCTAGGAGCTGCTCACSGAGAATGCAGACATTGCCTGCTGCCCAGAAACACCTCCCGGCAGGAACCTACACCAATACCCCGTGCAAGGAAGGGCACCCTACTCGGGCACAGCAGGGACACAGATCTGTCTGAGCACGTAAAACACTGGAAAAAAAAAAATAGAGAACCTTTGCTGGGAACAGTGCTTTTCTTTCCGCACGGGATAGCTGGAGTTTGACCTGCTAACCCGTACCTTACCACRGCTGAAACCGTCCAGCAGGTGGAGATAACTTAACAGCCCAATAAGCGCAGCCAAGGACTAAAGCTTCTGGGTTCCTACGCAAAGGGGCTCCCTGGAGCCCCGACCGACGCCCGGATGCGGGCACGGCAGTGCAAAATAGCCATTATTGAAGCAAAAGGCGCCTCGGGGAGACGGGAACGGGTATTTCTGCCTCCCCGCCTAACGCGCTGCCGAGTGTGACCACTCCATGGGGCCGGACAGGGAAGGGTAGAGGGGCTGCGGGCGGGACGAGACAGGCACTGCACAGGAGGAGRGAAAAGGGGCCAGGAGAGGCCCCTTAAGAAGCGAGATCCAAGGGCACCTCCCTCCCCTCCCCTCCGCAACCCCCGCCGCCATGACACCGTCACCCCCCCCCCCCGCGCCTGCGCACTGAGCGCCGCGCACGCGCACAGCGGGCCCCGGCGGTCTCCATGGCAACGGGGAAGCGCAGCCGCCGGCTCTCACCGCCTCCCGCGCCTGGCGGGTGCTTCTCAGCGCCTGGCAGGAGAACTCCATGGGGGCGGCCGGGAGGCCCCGCCGCGGGCAGGCGCAGCCCGCGGAGGCGGCAGCGGTGGGAGGCGGAACGAGCTCAGAGCGGGGCCCAGGCCTGGCTCCCCGCGGCGGCGGCGGGGAGGCGGCGGCCGCSAGGCGGGGTGCCGGGCGCACCCGCGGCCAATCGAAACGCGGGAATGTGATTGCCCGAAGATAGAACCAATGGCCACGGGATGGGGGGGCGGCTTTTAAGGTCGAGGCCAATCAGAGGGGCTGTTGGCTGTGACAGCCAATCGGCGCTTGAGTTACCTCAGCGGTGCTGCTGAGGCGCTTGGCGGGCAGGGAGGTGGGTGACGGACCCGACCCAACTGTTCGCTCCTCTGCTCTACTGGGGTTGGGGCCTTTGCCCAAATACTCCCCGTGTCACCGGGGAGCCACCTGCTCCTCGCACCGAGACCAGCAGCGGGCCTGAAAAGTGGAGGTGGGTCTGGCACCGGGAGAAAACAATGGCTGGGTTCTGAATATGTCCCGTGAATAAGGTGTTTAAATAACAGGATCACAGAATGGTTAAGGGTGAAAGGGTCCTCTGGAGATCATCCCATCTAACCCCCTGCTGAAGCAGAGACACCCAGAGCACATGGCACAGGGTGGCATCCAGTTGGGTTTTGGAGATCTCTAGAGAAGGAGACTCCCCAGCCTCCCTGGGCAGCCTGTGCCAGGGCTCTGTTACCTCACAGCAAAGTAGTTCTTCCTCACATGCAGATGGAACTACCTGGGTTTCAACTTGGACCCACTGCCCCTTGTCCTGTCACAAGCCAGCACCAAGAAGAGTTTGGTCCTTTCCTCCCTACATTCACCCTTCAAGTACTTGTATGTATTGATTAGATCCCCTCACAACCTTCTCCAGGCTAAACAGGCTCAACTCATTTAGTCTTTCCTCATWTGAGAGATGTTCCAGTCCCTTCCTCATCTTTGCCGCTCTCCGCTGGATCATCTCTAGAAGCTCCACATCCTTCTTGTCCAAAACTGCACCCAATACTCAGGATGTATATCCAGATAGATAGCTGTTTATCCAGATTCGGCCCCATTTATCACCACCCTCTGAGCTGATCCAGCCAATTCTTAATCCACCTCACTGTCCACCCATCCAGTCCACACTTCAGAGCTTTCCCATGAGGATGTTATGGGAGACGGTGTCAAAAGCCTTGCTGAAGTCAAGGTAGACAACATCCACGGCTCTCCCATCATCCATCCAGCCAACAGCCTGTCATAGAAGGCTGTTCATCAGACATGACTTTGCCTTGGTGAATCCATGCTGGCAACTTCTGATCACCTTCTCCTTCACATATAAATCCATAATCTGTAATCCATACGCAGGTTCCCTTGCTGCTTGCCAAGATGGCTGTTGTTCTTGGCAAGGAGTGGTTGGCGCCTTCAAAGACCTGCACCTTGTAGCAGAACCTTCCTCTCTGGCCTTTCAATACATCCTGCTTTCAAGGATATCCTAAGCAAAAACATTCAACAGCCTCAGCAGACACTAACTGCTAACTCATCACGTGTATTGCAGGTTCATCCCATTTAGCACGTAGTTTAATGCATAATGCATTTGTTCCATAACCTGTGCACAGTGTACCAAGTGCACCAAATKAATGCTGCTGCATCCTCTGTTAGGAGAATTTGTGCTTAATTTTGTGGTCTTAATGTTGCAGCAGAGTAGGTAATAGGTTTCTTTTCCATTATTGGACGCTCCTGCTTTATTGCTCCGAAGGAGAAATCCCTGCAATTGAAGTTAGTGTTCAAGTCATCCCAATTAGGTTTCTGAGTGTATCTCACTACCACTGAGAGAAGAGCCTGAGTTCTCATCTTTGCTTGATTGGAGAGAGGTTTTTTTCCACAGCATCCCTTTTAATGGGATAATAGCATCTTAATGTGTGGCTTGCTGTCATTTTGATGGGGAAAAAAAGAGTCTTCAGACATAAGACCACAAACCTGAGAATAATTTTCACCAGGTGGTTGTGAATTAATCTTTCAGAAATGCTTTAGAGTCAAACGTAAAGCCACAGGAAAAGAAGCTTTTTCCGTGACTGCGACATCATTGTGAAAATTGCGGCTTGTTCTTGCAATTCAGGCCACAAGATATTGCTGATTGGCAGCACCAAGGTGTCMTGGAGCAAATCAAGAGCCTCCTCAGAAACCTTGCGAGGGACACTGAGATTATCTAGGCCTTACATTCAGTAGTCACCATTTAAAAATATAATAATGGTCAGTTAAACAACTTTTTATCTAACATTTAAATATTCCTCTGCTGTACTTATAACAAATATATACTTATATAACCGCAGTAGCAGTATGTTAGAATAGGCAAGTAAAACTAATGTGCATTTCACTGTGAAAACTGATTACAAAAGAACAAATTCATTTCCTAATTTACACTTTAGTCTGCTGAACATTATTATAGCTAATGAGTCTACTCTTGCTTTAGAATCATGTACCACTTCACTGTATGTCTTGACATAACAAATACAAGAACAYGTTCCACTGCTGAGCTCTGTTTTCTCACTTAGCTGGAATACAGATAGTAGAGATATAAGCACCTATAAAAAAGTTTTCTGATAAATAGAATAAGTAACTAAGATCATCTTGTATCATAATCAAAGCCCATATTTTTATGGGCAGTAGAGCAATCAAGGACATCTGGGAGCTTCCATCCTTGAAGAACTCTGGACTTAACACAGGAGCATGGGCATTAGGTACCCCCCAATTACCATTTCAAACACACTTTCTCTAGTCTTACATTACAAAGTAAATGGCAGTGGGATAGGAAAGACCATGGAGAAACCTAAGACTTGCTTTAGAGTGTTTTTTTTTTTTCTCTTTACACTCAGCACACACAAAGTCTACTTTTAACTCATTCAGTCACCTCTRCCCCATTATCCCAGCTCTACTAATTTATATTTCTCTGTTACCAGCTGGCAGGGGAGCACAGGAGGACTTTGTTAAATCGCTGATGAGCCCAAGTGCTGGGACACGGAGAGCAGCTCTGGTATTTCCTACTCCATGGGATGTGCTTGTGGGGAAGAGCGCATGGAGATGCTCACATGCCAACGTCACCCTTGGTAGCACCGCTATGGGGTTAGTGCTTGTATGCACATATTGTGCACACCCCTGGAATAATTACTAGAGAAGGTCATACTGCATATCTGTATTTTATTCCTAACGAGCCTAACCCTAATTAAGGGGCAGGACACTCAATTTCTATAGGCTTCCTCTCCACCCTGGTTAGAGCTTATTGGGAAGAGCAAATTGGAGGCTGTGGTGGTGTCCTCTCAGATAGGAGAGCTGTCCTGTCATGTAGGAGGAGGACAGGGCAGCTGCTCCTCCCATGGCTAGTGCTGCATCCAGCCTGTGGCCTTGTGTCCAGAGGCCTCTGAAAGCAGAAAAGATTAAAGAGGACAGTGTGGGAAGCACCTCGGCCGCAGCAGCAGAGCTGGGGAGGAAAAGGAGAGGGAAGAAGTACTGGAGGCGCAAGTGGAAGAAGTGGCAGCAGTACCGTGAGAAGCGTCGCAAGCTGGAGGAATGGCTGACCTTTGAGGTAGGCTCCCCAAAAGGTGGGAAATGTTGAAGTTTTGAAACTTTGTCAAGCTCCTCAGAGGGCCTGGTGCCTGGGATGTTTGATTGGAAGCATGAGTTTGGAGCTGGGCTGTGTTGTGTTTTGGAAAGCTGTGGGGTTTTGTGAAGGGCTAGAGAAGTGAATGGATCTGAATTAGCAGAAAAGTCGCAAGGAGAAAGTTTGAGACAAACCTCAGCCTAGATTTAGAAGAAGATAGACCTGTGTCCTCTGCTTTTGTGGAGCAGGGGCTTGAGAAAACACTCGAAGACCACCAAGCTTGGAGCACTTGTTTTCTTAAGTCCGTGGCCCCAGGAACAAGCAGAAGCAAGGCCATAAGGAAAAAATGGGGAAAACAGGCTAGTGGTAATGAGGAAGGTAGCTCTTTAAGGAAAAAATGAGGGCCTTTGTGCTGATGTGCCACTAAAGATGTCTGCCCCTTTAGACCTTTCTGAGGTCTCCTCTTGTTGGGGTTGTGTTGGCAGCTTGTTGGGGTTGTGTTGGGGTTGTGTTGGCTTGACCTCTGCTTTGCCCTGCAGTAAATCAGTTGTGGGCCTTAAGGGCCTGGGTGCCACTAGGTAATGACTGTGGCTTGACCATGAGCCCCGGCTGATTTTGAAAATGCTATTCCGAGTGTTTATGTATCTATAAGTGTCTCCATGTTTCCTTTGCCGCAGGAAATCCATTATTCAGGTTTGCAGTTWACTGCTGGTGACATTTTTTGGGGTATTTTTGTGTTATAATGATAACGTGACACCTTTTATGAATAAAYAACAGCATTGCTGATGGATAGAGCCTGGAAAGCAGCAAAACTGCTGCATAGGCCTTTCTAACATGCAGCCTTTCTAACATGCTCTGGTTATGAGTCTGTCTTTTGAGGCTGTGCTTTATTGTTTTTTTTCCTTCCCATTGATTTCTGTTAACATAAGCATCCCACTCAAGTACAGCCCAGGCTCTTGTAATAGAGAGGGTATAGACAGTTGATTATAATACTGGCTTAACCCTTTGTTACTACCGTGTGCCTAAAAATGCCTCTAATGGGTGTGTGTGTGTATATAAAATATTTTTGGGTGGTAAAGAGGTATGGAAAATATATTTTTGGGCGGCAAAGAGGTACAGTGTGTCCCAGAGGGACCCCTGAAGGTCACGGAGGAGCCCCAGGCCGGCCAGAGCCCAGCAGGGCCCGAGCAGGACTTCATTTTATTTCATTTTCCACCTGSAGCTCCCCCGATGCCGCGCGCGGGCCCGGCGCGGCCCCGCGGAGCGCTCGGCGAGCGGGCGGCCGCTGGCGCCGCC